ACAAGTAATTATGCATAAGTACAACTTATACAAGCTCGATGTTTGAATTCGTATAAATAATTGTGGATAAACATAATCAAATAGAGGATGAACATCTCATTTTAAAATATAAAAAGTGTAAAATATAATTTGAATAATTATCGAGTTCCAACAAAATAAATAATTATTATCTTTATAAAAAAATTATATTATTAAACCAAATATAAATTTATTTCGTTATTATACATAAATTAAATTATAAAAAAATTGAATTAAAAAATTACAAAAAAATGAGAAATTTCAAATAGTTAATTTGATATTAATATCGATATATTTTTGTTAAATTTTTATGATATCTTCAAACATATATTTCATTCAAAAATAAAAGCATCATCGCTTTCTCAAAATCACATAAAACCATATTATAACATCGACTGAGATAAATAATAAAATGAAATATTAAAATCATGATGTATCTCGCTGCATTGCGCGAGTACGCTTCTAGTATAACTATAAAGGTATTTGTGTAATTTATCAAGATGTGTCTCGATTTTAATGTTTTATTTTGTTCTTTATCCATGTTGATATAATATAGTTTTATATGATTTTGAGAAAACGATAATATTTTTATTTTTGAATAAAATATATAAAATTTGAAAAAACTATATCGATATTAATATTAAATTAACTATTTAAAAGTTTTTGTTTTGTGTAATTTCTCTAATTCAAAATTTTAATTATGATTTAATTTAACGTAACGAATTAATTTAATTTATGTTTCATAATATAATTTTTTAAAAAAAATAATAATTAAATTTTCTGTTAAAACTTAATGATTATCTTAATTATATTTTAGACTTTCTATATTTAAAATAAATATTTATTTTGTATTTGATTATGTTTATCTGCAGTTAGTTACACGAATTTAAAGATGAAACTTTAATAAATTTTTATTTATATAGTTTGAGATTTATTGCTATTTACAATTTATTATTGTTTGGGATTTTCAATAACGTGGTTTTTAATTTTTTACTGTTTTAGTCCTTGTACATGAAGCATAAGTTTGTTTAAAAATAAAAATAATAATAAATTGCAAACTATAATTGTAATTTCTAAGATATAAACGATAATAACAATAAATTATAAAATATAGGGATGAAAATCTTAATTTCTAAATCACATGAACAAAAATAGAAATTATTAACAAACTGCATGGACGAAAACTGTAATTTATTCAAAAAAAAAAAAAAATGGCAATACGACGCCGGATTGCTACCTTGAGGAGTATACTATAAACCAAGCGAAAACAGAAAGCGGAAAACAAGCGTTTTCAAATTTCCAAACCTCAAATGTTTATCTAAAACCCCTACCCCTTGAAAACTAGATCCTCTGCAATCGAGAAGGCTTTGCAGATTTCTTCAGTTTCCATAAGAAAAATGGTGATTGTAACAGGTTCAATCGCTTCTTGTTCCAAGGATCATCAAAAAATCTATCAACAATGGTTCAACTATGTCGATTCAGGTTGTAATTTCATTTCATTTCATTGTGGTTGCATATCTATACCAATTAGCTGATTAAGTTCTTAGATCCTATGAATTTGATCGTTTTATACTCATTTACGTCTTGTATTTGTGTGTTTGCTTATCTTGACGTGTATAAATTAAATATATACGAAGTGTTTAATTTGTCCATTCAGGTTGAAATTTCTACCAAATTCTGTGTGTGTGATTTAATTACGCACACACACACTTGTGTTTATGAAGTTTATGATTCTGTTGGATATAGTGTGGTTGTATACTTACTTTTATGCGCTTTTATGTGTAGATGGTGATGGTCGGATAACTGGTGATGAAGCAAAGAAGTTTTTTGCTACGTCGAATATTGAGAATCCTGAACTTAAGCAGGTGAGGACATAACTGTTGCCCACAGATGATTGGATTTGCTTGATGCCTTGCGTTTTACTTTCTGTAACTTGCAACGATTTGGGTAGGGGTTGTGTCTTTTGGTTTTTCATCTGTTGTTGACGATATAGTATAACACCATTGATGCTTAAACGTAAAGATATCCAACCAAGCAAAGTATAGATATAGTGTTGGCCCCAATGAACATTTGCAAAATGTTGACACCAAATTTTGTTTTATAGTGGTTTCAAAGGGTTTTTATAGAATTTAACAATTATGTTCTATGTGGTTATTTATCTTACATGGTCTTGAAAACAATGTGAGGTTGATGAATCTCATTGGTTTATTTTGTACGAACTGATTTGTCCCACACCCTATATGTTGGAAGCAATCAAATGTAGTGCCACAATATGGAAAATAAAAGAACTTCTCATTTAGAAATCTTGCCATTGGTGAAGATTCTGTTTGCTACTGGTATTCATGTATGAAGAATAGTTCCACCATCCTACTTATTGCAGTATTTGGAGCTCTATAAGGTTTAATAAATCTTTTTTCTATGTAATAATTGCTGTGGCATAACTTTGCTTAGAATTTTAGCGAATGCAGAAGTTGGAGTCTAAAATATATAATTGTGGTGTATTTTTCTTTCTTTGGAGAGGTTTATGAGCTAAACACATGTATTGATGCTGTCAAATTTGATTGAATCATTGTTCCCCTAAATTTTGCTGGTCTTTAAAGAGTAGTTGGTTTTGCAGTAATTTTTTTTGTTCTTTGATCATATTCAATTTGCTTTTTGAAGGTTTGGGCAATTGCAGATTCCAAGCGTCAAGGATTTTTAGGTTTTAAAGAGTTCATCACTGCTATGCAGGTATGTCTGTTTTACTTTCTTTTTCTTATGGCAATTTTCACATTACTGTTTTAACTCAATTTAATGGTATTCTTTTGCTTGCTGACAGTTGCTCTCTCTGGCACAAGCGGGACATGAATTAAATGCAGATTTACTGAGAACTACAGGTATGTGAATATGTTTGTGTCAATTAATTTGACTCAGTTCATAGTAGCTGTTGAGGTTACCTTCTAGTTCTAATTTATTTATCTATCCTGGAAAATGAATGAGCAAATTCATTGTGGTCGTTGCTATTGCTGCTTCAAATAATCCTTGTTTTGTGTCTGATAGTTGATGCAGAGCTTCTAGAACCTCCGGTGATGGAAGGTTTGGATTCACTTCTTGTGGTAAGCATGCATCTCTTTTTGTTCCTTATCATTCTTGTAAAGAAACTATTTCTTGTATTGATGGTCTATCCTCTACCACCCTCAGAAGCATAGGGATTCAAGAACCAATGGTGTCCCTGAAACAAATGGTTGGTACAACTCCCATTTTTAATTTTTTTCCATAAAATTTTACAATTTTTGTTTTCTTATTATGTGGTTTGGTTCAACATATGCATAGACATTTTGACAGTGCAACATGTGCCACCAAAGAATTTTTTTGCCTCAAGACTCCGTAAGAAGGTAGGTTTTCTCACTTCTATAGTCTACTTTATATTCAAAGTTGCAAATTACTTTATTGTGCTTCTATAACTAGTGTGGCATGTTTTTATGATTGTTAGTAGTTGATGATTTTTCCCTTTATCTTATCCCTTTCAGACATCTTGCCACGTATCCCTTGATAAAGTCACATCTATAGTTGATGGATTGAAGAGATTGTATAACGAAAAGCTAAAGCCATTAGAAGTTGCTTACCGTTACAATGATTTTGCATCTCCTTTATTGGTGAGGAGACTTTATAAATATTTTTGGCCTTTTGGTTTATTTAAGTTTATTTCAAGTCTTGTTTTTTGGGTCTCCTATGCTCTCTGTTACTCTTTGAAGAAATCTGTTTTAAAGTATTTTGATCATCATATGCAGACAAATAGTGACTTCGATGCGAAACCTATGGTAATGCTTCTTGGTCAGTACTCAACTGGGAAGACAACATTTATCAAGCATCTTCTTAAATGCAACTACCCAGGTCAGTTAAATTTGTTTAAAATTATAGATGTTAATCTTTTCGATTTACAACATTTTCACAGATTAGAGCACACAGACTTCATAATCTTTCTTTTACATGGACAGGAGCTCATATTGGCCCTGAGCCTACAACGGACAGATTTATCGTTGTTATGGTAATATTACTTGTTCTGTTTGTTTTGGTTGCATTTATTTGCCTTATGTAATTTTCGTGGAGTATGTTTCGGTTGTTTTACTCGTTCTTGCTGTGTAGGGTGGGCCTGATGAGAGAAGTGTACCTGGAAACACCATTGCTGTACAGGCAGATATGCCGTTCAATGCACTCACTACTTTTGGAGGAGCATTTCTATCAAAATTTGAATGTTCTCAAATGGCACATCCTGTAAGCTCATACTTTTAGGTTTCATCAATTGTTCTTCATTGCATTCTAGTGCATTCATCAATTTAACCAACATATAACTTGTACATGTCCAGCTTTTGGAGCATATCACATTTGTTGACACTCCTGGAGTTCTATCAGGAGAGAAGCAGCGCACACAAAGAAGTTATGACTTCACCGGGGTGATAAAGTGGTTTGCAGAAAAATGTGATCTTATTCTCCTTCTCTTTGACCCTCATAAACTTGATATAAGTGATGAATTCAAGCGAGTGATCTCGTCTTTACGTGGTCAAGATGATAAGATTCGTGTTGTACTTAACAAGGCAGACCAAGTTGATACTCAACAAGTAAGAACTGCAAGCAAATGTGTAATTGTCATTTTTTTCTCACTTTTCAATTGAACCTCGCACATTCTGATCAGTTAATGCATTTGGTGTAAATGTATAACATACTTTTTTGTTGTTCTGTTGAAGTTGATGCGAGTTTATGGTGCATTGATGTGGTCACTTGGAAAAGTACTCAACACACCCGAAGTGGCGCGCGTTTACATTGGGTATACTTTTCTACCATTTTATATTTTTTCTCTACTTTGCACACTTTTCACAAGCCGGGGGTCTTCAAATCCGTACCTCTGGGCGGGATATACCGGGCTAGTATGGTTTGGTTATACTTTCCTGCCATTTCATTTCTACTTTCCTGCAAATACTTTTTCCTTATGTCAGGTAGTTTTTGTGACATATTAGCAATTACCTTCTTAAGTTGAAGTTATAATCAACTAGACTCTTATGAAATACATGTTCCATCTGCTTTATTGGCAGGTCTCCGTTTATTTTTAATCTTAAACTAGTATTTAACAAAATTATAGGTATTGTTTTACAATTATACTCTTTGAGGTGATTATTAATTTAAAAAAAATAATATATTTGTTTGAATTTAAAATAGGAAGTTGTTTGGTTGGCATCTATAGTCAACAATACGAAGTAGTAGGTTTCTTGTGGGCTTCATTTTGAAATTACCTACTTTCCCATTGTCATTGTTACGAATGACATTCTATGTTTTAGATCTATGCTATTCTCCCATTTGTATATAAGGGTATTTAAGCAATTTGGTTAAGAGTTGAGACATTTCTTAAGTTGAAAAGATTCATCATAGAATATGTAAAGTGATTCTTTCTTCTTATGTTTGCTTTATTGGAAAAATGATGTCAACAGATCATTCAATGACAAACCAATCAATGAAGAATCAGTTGATTCCATGGGCAAGGAGCTTTTTGAAAAAGAACAGGATGACCTCCTTATAGACTTGATTGACATTCCAAAAAAGGCTTGTGATCGTCAGGTATGTTTACCTTTTCTTGAATTTTCTATGGGATTTTGATGCAAAAATTATAAAAAAAACAATATTTGTTTTCAGATCAACGAGTTTGTTAAACGTGCTCGAGCTGCGAAGATACATGCTTACATAATCAGCCAATTGAAAAAAGAAATGCCTACCATGATGGGCAAATCTAAAGCTCAGCAGAAGCTCATGAAGAATCTTGAAGATGTATTCGCAAAGGTGTGTTTTCTTCTTCTTTCTCATTTTCACTGAAATAATCCAAACATATTAATTAATCCTTTGCAGCAAATTTATCATTGGATTTTCTATATTATGTTGCCTTATTCCTATGAGGCCATGATGCCAACTTCATCTCATTGAAATATGGCCATAATATCTACTTCAGTTTGAAAACCACGAGTTAAGGCTATGTTTGTATTTATTTGCAACCCACATGATAAAAATGGTTCCTCAAACTATAATTTATGGTTCTAATTTGGAACAACATGACATAGGTTCAAAGGGAGTTTCATCTACCAGCGGGTGATTTCCCTGATGTGGAGCATTTTAGGCAAGTTCTGGGTGCTTATAACATCGACAAGTTCGAAAAATTGAAGCCAAAGATGATTCAAGCTGTGGATGACATGCTTGGATATGATATTCCAGATCTCCTGAAAAACTTTAGAAATCCTTATGATCAAAAATAGGTTTGTTGGTTCTTTTGGGATTAAACCTTTTATGATGGATTTCTTATCCATTTTCTGTTTTCAATTCGTTGTATTTTTCTGAAAGTTTTGCCATTTTCGTGATGGGGCTTTGAATGGAAGAAGTATGTTCTTATTGGCTTTTTAGTTTCGTTGGGAGATTAACAAGCTGTTTATCGTATCAGTTATGTTGCTGGGTGAGAATGGGAAGGATCGAGAATATTAGGCCCCGTTTGGTTTGCAGAACGGAATGGATTTGGGGGATTTGGATTTCGAATCCATTCCAATCTCTTGTTTGGTTTGTTGGATTATCTGGATTTGAAATCCTATGATTTAATTGAAATCCTACAAACATAGAATTTTGAAATCTTTGGGGGTGCTTGAGATTTTATGGGATTTTGTAGCATTATATGAAAAAAGGTTTTAAAAACATTTGTTTTGTAATAAGCGATTAATAAAAATGTAATTTAATTACTTTTACAATTATTTATAATTTTTTTATAAAAAATGGAACCCAATTCCATTCCAAATCTTATAAACCAAATACATCAATGATTTCAATTTTGTTCCAATCAAAATTCTTCATTGAAATACAAATCTCTCAAAAACAGTCTTACAAACCAAACAAATGTTTACTGTATAAGAGTCGTATTGACAAGTAACAACCGAGTTTCTTGCTATGGTGTAAATGAGGTTAGTTTTACAAGCGTAAGATAAAGAATTCAAACATGAAACTTTAGGTAAAATAAGTTTCAAAATTCTTGTTTTAAGAAACCAAAGTGAAAAGAAATTCGATTCTTAGAATTATTGAGTTTTTGTTTTAAGAAACCAAAGTAAAATTCTTGTTATGTTGTTGGGTGAGAATGGAAAAGATCGAGAATAATTTCGGCTAATTAGTTCTACACAAGTCGATAAAAAGACCTTAAAAATATGTAAATTTGGGCCCTAAAAATTTCGGGGGCCTTGTTTAAAATTTCACATTTAACATGCTAAGGGACGACCCTGAATTTAATTTTAATCTTGTATTTTAAATAATATGCATCAATAAGCAGTATTTCATACATAAAAAATGTTTTTAAGAGTTTTTATCAAATACTTTATAATATACTAGTTGTGTACCCGCGCAATGCGGCGGGAGCCATGAATTTTAACGATTTTGAAGTTCCACTGGTTTTATAAGATAAGATGTAACGATGATATATGTTACACTTGGTCTTTACATATTAATACAATTTGAATAAATAAGAGTTATGGTTCCAATTACAGACTATCGATGAAAAAAACTGTATGACAGTTTAAAATCCAATATATTTAAAATCTAACATATTTAATTTGATTTACACCAAGAGCAAATAACCCAGAAACTTGAGTTTTAAGATAAACACTCAAAACCAATAAAGAAAACTACAATTTTGACAGATCATAAGCCATGAAAAGACAAAAAAGAATGAGTTTTAGAATGAAATTTCAACTGTTTACTCTATTTCTTGTCTAGAGACTCAGATTAAGGTTGAATTAATACATGTATATATATATTTCAAAAAAACCCGAGAACATATTAATTCAGAACATATTATACAGTGCAATTTGGACAGCCTAATCCCAAAATATATAGTATATATATATAAATAAACAACTATAAAAGTATAAATCGTAAATATTAAAAATATTTTTTCACAGTATATATAACATATAATAATATAATTAAATAAAAAACTATTCAATATTGGACTCATTTCGAAGGTATTAACGAAACGATTACAATGGTGTAACTTGTTAAAATAAAAATGTATTTTTTAAACATGTTTTAATTGATATACGATTATGTATATTAATTTGATAAAAGTTTAAAATGAAACATTTAAAAGTAAAAGACGTAAAATAAATTAATTAACTAATTACAGAGGTATAATGTGTAAATTTAAAATTATAATTAAAAAAAAATATTGAGAGGATGAATGTAAGTGAGGGGGTAAGTGTATATGAGGAGAAGAGAGGTGAAAAAGTGATATAAATGGTATCTTAGTCATTTAGTATTTTAAGACTTTAAGAATTTTATTAAATTTGCTTTATAAAATAGTATAAATTATAGATTAGTACAACCTCGTCTAAATGCCTATAATTACCATAAAGAACATAAATTTGATTTCCAAATTGTTCACAAAATAAGTTTTAAAAAAGGGAAAATTGCATCAAAAACCAACTTTCATCTAATTCTTATTTTGGGGAATCAACTTTCAAAATCGTCATTTTGGGGAACCAACTTGCACCTGATTTCTATTTTGGGGAACCAACTTGCAAAATAATTATAGAAAAATAACAAAAATTCGTTTTTTCTAAAAATTAATGCAATAAAATCTATTTTTCATTTCAAATCTCGTTTTTTTTTTAAATTCAGATATCAAATTAAATATTTAAAAAAAAATCCAAATTACCACAATAAAAATTGTTTTTTACTGATGCAAAAAAATCAATTTAATAGAAAAAAAAATTAATTGATGCAATAAAAAAAATATTTAGGGGTCTCTATCAAACATTTTTTTTTTGCATCAATTAATTTTTTTTATTAAATTGATTTTTTTTTTTGCATTAGTAAAAAACAATTTTTATTGTGGTAATTTGGATTTTTTAAAAAAATGTTCAATTTGATATCTAAATTAAAAAAAACGAGATTTGAAATGAAGAATAGATTTTATTGCAAATTTTTGGAAAAAAAACGAATTTTAGTTATTTTCTATAATTATTTTGTAAGTTGGTTCCCTAAATTAGGAATCAGGTGCGAGTTAGTTTCCGAAAATGACGATTTTAAAAGTTTGTTCTTCAGAATAAGAATTAGGTGAAAGTTGGTACCGTTGTGGTGTAATTTTCCCTTTTAAAAATTAACATTCATGTTAAGAAAAAATTAAAATATAGAAAACAAAGTCGGATAAATAATTTTCCGTCAAGTGTTTTACTCCAAATTTGGCCGGCGAAAAGAAAACATCCACCCATTTACTCGCCTTTAATAAACCAAGAAAATAGTACCAATTATCAAGAATCAAACAAACACTTACAGTCAACAACAATGGAGAAATCGAAGATTGGGAGAAGATTTGAAGGCAAAGTCGCCATTGTTACAGCTTCAACTCAAGGCATAGGTTTCAGTATCGCTCAACGACTCGCCCTTGAAGGTGCTTCTGTTGTCATCTCTTCTCGCAAACAGGTTCTTCTTCCCTCATTTTCTTCATCTTTTTGCCCTAATTTACATGATTTTTAGGTCCTTTTTTTTATGCTTAATCGTGTAATTTTTCGAAGATTTTGATGACTATCTGTTTTGGGTTACTAAATTTATGTTGGAAAAAGCAGCCATTAAAGATTATTTTGTAGAATCGATCATATTTGTTGATCCATCCAAATATTAGCATCAACTTAATTTAGGGAAATTGTTGAAAATAGCAATTTATGACCCCTCAATTCACTTGCTTTTCTACATGATTTGACTGAAATAGCCATTTTAGCAACCTTGTGAAATCCAATTTTTATGAACATAATGTTAATAAAGTAGCAATTCTGCAAGTTGCTAAACAACGAAAATTTGTTAAAATACTGCTACTTACCCACTTGCTTCCATGCTACTGTCAAGTCTAACATTTCGTAAGTAGCATTTTAACAACTTGTTAAAAATGTTAGTTTCTTTTGGAAGGGTGTCCCTGTAGTAAACTAATCCCACTGGCAAATTGTGACAGCAAGAAAACATTGCTGATAAAACTCAGTGGCCACAATTGTTGTGTAAGTGTGGAATCAAACCCTACGCAGATGAGATATTCCACCACATCCCCAAGACCTCCACGTTTAAAAAAAAATGTTACTTGATGAATATTAAATTCGTAAAAAGTATATTATGTTGCTAAAGTGTTGTTTGCAAAACCTTGGCTATTTTGTTCACTTGAGTAGAAAAGCGGCTATAATATGAATTGGGGAGTCTCGGAATGGCTATGATTTTGGTCAATTTCTTTTTAGTTTAACCTGGGAATTGGTGATGTTGACATATAAACTTTGCAGAAAGAAAATGTGCAAATTAGTATCTCTAGGATTTGGATATGGAGTTCCTAATTGGGGATGAAGATGATCAAGATTTCTTGAACTTTATTCAATCTGGTTTGCTTTTCAAGCATGTATTGGAGTAAAAAAATGGCACTTTTCAAGACTTCTTGAACTTCATTCAATCTGATTTACTTTCAAGCATGTATTTGAGTCAAAAATGGAGCTTTTCAAGATTTCTTGAACTTATTCAATTTGATTTACTTTCAAGCATGTATTTGAGTACAAAATGGAGCTTTTCAAGATTTCTTGAGCTTGTTTCTACTAAATAGCACCAACCATCATCATTCGACAGTGATACAATCTTGTTTTTTGGAAATTGTTTGAATTTGTTCGATTTCAATATACATATAGAGGGTCAAGTTCAGGGAAAACCGCAAAAAAAATGGAAAAACCAAGGGTCACTCTAGTAACCGTTTATTTGTAAGGTATGCACATGTACATAACATGCACGGGTGCATAGAAACCAAGAAACATCTTCAATTACTTGGATGCACGTATGCATACTGTACAAATGAACGGTTATTAGAGTGTTCCTCAGTTTTTCTTTTTTTAGGGGTTTTTCCCTGAACCTCCCTACCCCCCTCTCTCTCTCTCTCTCCATATATATATATATATGGGTTGGATTTGAGTTCAAACATGTAATTGTCTTCTTTCAGAAAAATGTTGATGAGGCAGTGAAAAAGCTTAAAGCACAAGGAATTGAAGCGTTGGGATTGGTATGCCATGTTTCTAATGCACAACAAAGAAAATATCTCATTGAACGGACGGTTCAGGTGACAATGATTTCCACTTGTATTCATATACTTTACTCCATCAACCGAATTCGTTAAGTTTCTTGTTAGGTATCCTTAAAGATTATCGTTCTTTTAAGTCGTGTATGCGATCCATGTACTGAAATCAGTTTCTCAAAACCTTTTTACAAGTTGGGGATCTTAACAGAAACAACTTCTCTACTCTTCAGTGCAGAGGTTAGGTTAAGTCCGCCTACATCCTACCCTCCTCAGATCCATGTTATTTAGCTCAATGACCCCCATAAGCTCATTTTGCAATTTATTACTTTATTTCTAAGTTTTTGGTTCGTTTGGTATCAAATAGTGAGGTTGTGTTTCTTCATTTGTGCTTTTTTAGTTTCCCATCGATCATTAGGAAGATGATAGATATGTCAAAGATAAAGAAGATGGAATGGTTTTTTTATCTTCAAGAGGCTTAGGGGCTGTTTGGTAGCCTCTTAATGGTGACATTAAGAGGGAACCTCTTAATCGGTGAGAGGCTGCGGTTGTTTGGCATAAAAAATTTAGCCTCTTAATGGTGACAATTATCTCTTGAACGATTTAGCATCCAAAGGTTCGCCTAATGGTTCAGATCCATTTTCTTCCTTATTTGCCCTTCACTTTCACGCCTCCTATCACATTCCTGCCACTTCACTTTCACGCCTCCATCGCCTCCTATCATATTCCTCCCACGCCGATGATCCTTTCTCTCTATCTCTCCGCTGAGTTATCGCCTCCTCCCGACGATCCTCTCTCTCTATCTCTCCGCCGAGCTATCTCTCACAGGTTTCATCTGGACCCATTTTCTTGCTACCGTTCTTGCTACCATTTTTGCTACTGTTTAGCTACTGATTAGTCTGGTTCTTGCTACTGTTTTTGCTATCGTTTTTGCTACTGTTTAGTCTGGTTCTTGCTGCTGTTTTTCCTACTTTCTTGCTACTGTTTTTCCTACTGGTTTTAGTTCATTAATGGTTCTTGCTACTGGTTCTTGCTGCTGTTTTTCCTACTGTTCTTGCTACTGGTTTTACTTCATTAATGGTTCTT